TGAGATGCTATGTATGGCTGCTGGTTTGTTGATTTGTATTTCGATGAAAGACTCGCCGTCATCCGAGACTTGATTCATCCATCCCACCTCACTCTCTCCTTGTCCTTGATCCATCCTCTACTAATTAGGAATTACCGGTTCACTTCCCTCTACTAGTTTATATATTAAGCTGTGATCTCTTGCTCCTATATGGAGTAGTTTCCCTCATTTGTTTATTTGGATAACAATAATTATACAGATTCAAATCGATACAGCTGGATAGCAGCTCACAACTTACACCATACGTATTCTTTTTAATAATCTTCGGACCAAACCAAAGCCCTCGATGGGATTAATTAGTGGTATAATCAAATAATATACACACTAATAATAACAACCCGACGGATCCCCATAAATCATTGATCGCCTAGCTCTTTACGGAATCACATGCATATATCACATGTCACATATTTTCCCTCGATTTTTTTTTCTTTAATTCTAGCTTAGAAAGGGTATTTTGGATGAACTCAGTTTGAGAAAGAACAATTGATGGAACAAGACTTGAAATGTTGCTGATATTTTGTTTGTGTATGTATGTATATCAAACGCACTCAGAAATATTATTTAAGAAAATAATTCTATATATAATAGTTGAGTTACTCTCAGAAACTCTTGCGACTTAAGCATCCATCTTTTTACACATTTCTTTCACAAAAACTCTTCTATTTAACACCTAATCTTGGTTTAAAAAAATCTCATTAATTTTCTTCTCCATCGAATGCCTCCAAGTCTCTATAAACAATAAATATTTCTTCACATATCAAGAAAACGTCACTATCAAATTGTTGACTAAAAATATCAACAATAAACGAAACTTCTACCTTTTGGCATTCCATTTCTATATGAGGCCAAAAAAACATAGAACAAAATGTGAAGAACATTCTTTTTTAAAATCATAGTTTTGTGATTAATTTGGTTGAATTCCTCTTTAATCTCTATTACGTCTTCATCTCACGTGAGGTTTCTTAGTAAAACGAGATTTTAGTTTTGTTTTTCGTTCTAGCAGTCGTTTATAATTTCAGATATTTTTCACAAAATTCGTATGATTATTCACGCATTAGTTTCAAGTTTTCTTTCTATCACGTTTGTAATAGAAAATGTACTTTTCTAAATCTACAGAGAGGAGTTATATAAGACAACTAACGATCATCTTTTCAAAAAAAAAAAAGACAACTAACGGTCAGAATGTGTACTAGATTTCTTTTTACAATCATAGTTGAGTTATCAGATTAGTGATCTTTTTCTTTCATGAGAAACATAGTCATATTCACCTATATTTAAGACATGAAACATATTGTTTTAATGTGAATTTTCCTGGTTATAGTCAATTTAATTATCAAATAGTTGGGTATAAAATAGTTGTTATATGGTTTATTTGTGTTTCAAACAATTGGTGGAGATCGTCAATCATATATTTCCTAGAACTTTGCTAATATCATTTACATCTGCTTTTACATTTGTATTTAACGAGATTCTCCTCCACTGATGATGTTTTCGACATAAATCATTTAGTTATCCAGTATTATAAAAAGCAGATGTAATCGATGATTATTCCTTTCATTGACAAACGAATACTTCAAAACTTAGAACGGTAAATTCTTTTAGATATTCTCTAGCTTTAGTGTATTTTGGTTTCGTTTATGGTTCCCTCTCCATTTCCATTCACAATTGATGTTAAATAGTCTTTGTTTTGTCTAAAAAAAATCAACGGTTGATTTAAAAGATTTTTGATGGTTTTCAACATTTGTGTTTATTGGTTTTATTTAATTGTTAGATTATCGAGACAAATGATAACGTCATGACAAAGTTTATGTCCGAGGGTACAAAGATCATACAACCGCATTATTCGGTATGAAGGTATTTTCTTTGAAATTAAATTAAAAAAAATCATTTAGAAGAATTTTAAAAAGAAAATTAAGTAGGTTTGGGGATGATGGTGATCGGTTGAAGCAAGAAAAAAAGGCAATATTTTTTTATGATCTAACAAGTTTTAGGCAACTCAAGAATAAAATATTACAATGTTATTACTATAGTGCACAGCTTAGAAAACTTCAAGTCCAAGGTGTGTTTGGATGAGACATTGTCTGCATGACAGTACATGAATTCAAGATTTTTAGTTGCTTACTTGCTTTGGCATGTAAATTTAAATGAAGATCTGACAGGGAAAAAAATGTAGAATATTAATGAGCAAAGGTTTAAACCATCATGTTGCTCT